TCTTGGGGCATGCTGTACTTGAGTCACTAAATCAAGTTAATTGTTATAACACTGCAGAGTCAAAAGCTCCATCCTGGCCTTTGTTTTCCCACACATTCAGAGGGGGATTTAAAATGGGAGGGAACGATGGTGGTGATAATATTCCAGGGACTACTCTGAGGCAAACTAAGCTTTTCTGTTTGTCAATCTTGTCTTCTGGTGCCCCTGTCTCAGCGGCACTCTGTTGCCACCCTACAACACATCTACAGAGCTCTTTCTCCCCCTCTCCATTAAAATGTTACCCTGTAAAGAATATGATAAAATCAGCCAAATTGGTGTGTAAAGACTGGTTCAGTTTACAGTGTTCCCTCTTAGAGGGATATTTCTTTTCATTTTAATAGCTCTCAGGACAAACGTGAGAGTCTGAGATCTGGCTTTACTTTTGAGGAGGGAGCAGTACGGACGGAAGCTACGTGGTATGGATCCCATCACGTGGCTCCTGAGGGCATTGACTGAACAGTTACTGATAAGGCCCAGGGGGTGGTATAATCCACATTAAATTAACTGTTTGGAATTTGCTCAGAGTATAATGGCCTCTGCTCTGGACTGGTAACTAGAAAACAACGCATGTAGCTTTCCTGACCCTTGCTACTGGGATCCTGTGAAATATCCTGGGGATTACAATTTTAAGAACTCTGACAGGAAATGTTTACAAAGTTTTGGACATATACAAGCTTCCCCAGAAGGGCCACAGACCCAGAGACTTTGCTGAGATGTCAACTTGAATTGAAAGGCTTCTGAAGCCAGTGAGTACATTGCTATGCTCACGAGCAAGGCCAGAAAACTGCCTGGTATTGTTCTTAACTTGTTTCGCAGGCAGTCAATGGTATTATTACTTTTTTGTGTGTCTCCCAATTGCTAGTTCTGGCAATACAGGTGAAGCTCTAAGAAATGATTGTTCTTAGCAAGGCAACAGAGTCTTGGTGTAAATTAGTGTTTGGAATATATAATTTGGATGTAGTTTCAGTCTATGTCATGAATGAGTCTTTTATATCAAGCAAACAAAAGATTAAAGTGTTTTAGTGAGTATTCCTGCCCCGTGCAAAAATTGTTCATCGAGTGAAAATGAAATTTTGGTGAAAGATCAAAAGGCAGTAATTTATTTTACAGATATCCTTCCAAATGCGTGAAATGGCATATGTCTCGGCTTACATATTGCAGCGTTGTTTGTAAAATCGAAAAATTGGAAATAACTCAAATGTGCGTCAACAGGGGATTAATCAAATAAATTACAGTATATCCATCAATGGAATATTATGAAGACCTATAAAAGAATGAGCGAGCTATGTTTCACTATGGAAAGATCACTAAGATGTATTATAAAGGAAAAAAGCAAGGTGCAGAATATTGTAAAAAGAGGTGGGGGAAAGAATATATATATACCTATTTGCTTATAAAGGCACAGACTATCTATGGAATAATGCACAACTGGCAACTTTGGTGGTCGAGGGGAATGGGGAACTCGTGACCAAGGAACAGACGTGGGAAAGAGATGTCAAACTAGAAACACTTTGGTATCTTTTGAATTGTTAATCATGTGAATGTGTTATCTTCTCAAAAATAGATTAAATTAATTTTTTATTTAAAATAGAGAAATAAAAAAAGGCAGTGATTTGTAGGGTGTGTTTATGTGTAGGGGTATTACAATGATTAAATGAAAGTTTATGTTAAGTGCCCGACACAAAAAAAAATGCTCAAAAAATATTAGTTTCCTTCTCCAGCCCCACAACAGTATCCTCCTCTCTACACACATGAGAATTAGGCAACACCCCAATCTTAGCCACACATATTTGCAAACCCTCTCCTTAGATGGCTAATCTCAGAAATTCAAAATTCATTCTAATTAGCCTCAATCACAGACGATGCTATTTTTGAAAATCTGTCCTCAGTTTCTGGGAATCCATTTTGTTTAGTTCTGGCAACCTCTTGCATGTTAACAGCCCACTATAGCACATCATCAAAGCATTTAACCAAAGGCCTTGATTCTAGTAACTCTCAAGGAAGTAAAGGAAAGCTATAAAACATACTATCAGATTTTAAAGGGCCACTACTCAAAAGAGATCTTGTGGAAAGAGTAACAAATTTAGATTCTATTTGATATTTGCTATGACCATGACTAGGCTTTTTAGAATTGGTTTGATTGTAACATTTCTTAAGGAATTCACTGTCAGTGCCATAAGTAGTGAAAACAACACTACTTTAAATTATTCCCCTTTGAAAAGTTTAATTAAAAACACGCATACATATGTGACGCACCAGGGATAGCAAGGACTTGCATAGCAGGAGAGCGATCCTGTGTTTACTCACTTGTATATACATACTTGGATACTACAAAATTTAGTATATTTAGCACATACTTTTTTGGTTGGAGAATATTTAAGTCCTCCCATAACTAAACAAGAAAAAAGAGGGGCCAGCCTTGTGGTGTAGTGGTTAAGTTTGGCGCGTTCCACTTCGGCAGCCCAGGTTTGCGGGTTCGGAACCCGGGCGCGGACCTGTGCCACTTGTCAGCCACACTGTGGTGGCAACCCACATATAAAGTAGATGAAGAACTGGCAACAGATGTTAGCTCAGGGCTAACCTTCCTCAGCAAAAAATAAATAAATAAATAAATAAAATAAATAAGAATTTGCTTCCTCACTAGGGAAATTATTAGAATCAATGCTAATATGGCTATTTAAGATCTGTTAAAAATATTTTCTTTGAAGATTCAAAGAAATAATGTAGTGCAAAAGCAATATAATTTTGGAAAATAAAAAGTACCCCAATAGGTGAGAGATACTATTGTTTCAAGCATGAGAACTGAGAATTTGGCGTCTTGGTCAAGGAGCTTTGGCCTTGACTCCTGGGATCAGAACTCTTCAATATGCAACTCACTGCATTTGTTTCTTGGTTCATTCATTCATTCATTCACTTGCCAAGTACACATCTATTAAAGAATTACCATTTGTGAAGCACTATGCTAAGTACCAGGAACATAATTTATTTCAGAGACAGATGCATAAATAGTTGATAACAACATGTTTTATAAGTGCTACTACAGAAATATGTACCAATAACTGAGAGAGCAGTGCAGAGGGAAGGATTCATTCTAGAAGGGCCAGACAAAAGTGTGGGGAGAGAAGTGGTTAGAGAGGCTTCATAGAGAATGCAAACAGCATCTGAGGTATTTTCTGAGGATGAAAAAATGAGGAATTCTAGACAGAGAGAACTACGTGGTTCAAATTAAAAAAGTGTAAAAGTGCACTTTGCATCTGAGTATAGCTGTGAGTAGTTTGATGTGGATCAAGGCTTCATGGTGGTGGGGGGGGGGAGGTTTCAAGCCATACTACAAACATTGGTCCTTGACCCAGTTGGTCAGCGATCCCCTGGCCACTATACTAATTTTCTCTATAAAGCCTATGTTTTGAATGGCTGAAAACCCAGGTGTATTTATTGGTGAGGTGCTTTCAGGTTTCAAGGAGCACAGACATGCCTCCGATCTTGGGTGATGGGAATTTATTAAAGGATATAAGAGGAAATTAGGAGGCAAGTATGGGAAACCATTTTAGTGGAACAATTAGGCCTCATGAAGAACCAGAGAATTGTTCACTGTTCTCCAGGATCATATAGCAATTGTAATGTCCCATAAGGAATACTGGGGATGTTGTCACATAGAAGGGTATGCGTTCTTCCTGCACAACATACCCTTCCATTCAGTTGATTTGCCTTCTCTGCTTCTTCCTCCTGCCATTATTACTGCCCTCTGGGTACTTCTCAGTTTATTTATCTCATGGATTCTATTTACTCATTGCTTCTACTAACTCATGGAGTCTGCTTAGCCTCTGTTTAGTTTCCTGGTTCATATTCCACTTTACTTCATGCATATGTCTGTGGTTTTGTGCAGAAAAGAGTTAACAACAGGCCCAAGACTGCTATTCTTAGAAACTCCTGCTTGCAAGGTTGGCCCTTAACTGGCATCTGAGCACTTAGGTTTCAGGAGGGTTCTGACCATTCGCTAAATGATAAGCATGGCTCACTCTGCCTAAACTATTTGTACAAATAATACAGCTTATGCTAAACACCTGCTTTCCTTCTGGCCGTCAGGAATTTGGTACGCACCACGAAGAAGGTACTCATGTGATCAGTCCTCAGTAAAAATCTTGGGCGTTGAGTCTATAATAAGCCTCCCCAATAGACAGCATTTCATACCTATTGTCACAACCTGTAGCTGAAGGAATTAAGCGCCTCCTAAGTGACCCTACTGGGAGAGGACTCTTGGAAGCTTGCACCTGGTTTCCTCCAGACTTTGCCCTATGCACCTCTTCCCTTTGCTGCTTTTGCTCTATATCCAGTCACTGTCATAGCCATAAGTATGACTATATGCTGAGTGCTGTAAGTCTTCCTAACAAATCATGGAACCTGGGGGTGATCTTGAGGACCCCTGACACAACTTTGCTTTCAGACTCCTGAAGAGAGAATATCTTATTCAGAGTCTACTTCCTGGTCCTTACGATGACCTGACCTCTGGCTCTTTCTTCATCCTCATCTCCTATCACTCCCCCACCCCCTGTTCTAGTTATGCCAGATTCCTTGCTGTTCCTCAGACATTCCAAGCATGCTCCTGCTTCAAGGCTTATGTACTTACTGTGCCCACTGCCTGTGCCTTTTCTCCCGGATATCTGCACGGCAGTTCCTCACCTCATTCCTGTCCCTGTTCATATGGCACCTATCTGAAATAACTATCCCCTCCCACCCACATGCCTTAACTGTCTATCCTTTAGATGAATTATTCACGGCACTTATCATTATTTTGCATTATATTGTTTATTTGCTTATTGCCTATCTTTCCCAATTAGAGTACAAATAAATGAAGGCAGGAAATTTGTCTGTTTTGTTCATTGCTCTATTTTTAGTTGCTGGAACAGTGCTGGGCACATAGAAAGGACTCAGTAAATTCTGTGTTTGCAGAAGGAGTGAATTAATAAATAATGTACCTCTGTTGGGCATATTTCTCATACCAGGCCACATTATATGCCCATGGACAGTGCACAGATGTCTGCCTTTAGGTTGAGCCCTGTGGCAGAGACTGCTGATTGTCCACCAATATCTACTCTCTCCTTCTTCTCTAGTAACAGAACTCCTGATTTTTGGCTGGGTACATGGCCACCAGAAATAAAGACTACATTTTCCAATCCCCCAAGCTGATAGGTGTGGCTATGTGACTAAGTGCAGGCCAATGGGATATAAGTGGAAGTTGAGTATGCAACATCTAGGTAGTATCCTTAATTAGAATGGGTTCTGTTTTTCCCTCCTTTTTTTCCTTCGTGCTGGGTGAAACTGGCTGTAATACTTGGAGATTTGGCAGCCATCTTGGATCATGAAGCAACCCTGGAATGGAAGGTACAGTCAATGGAGCAAGAAGATAGAAGGGGTCAGATAACGTGGAGGCCAATACCAATCCTGAAGAACCTACCTCTGGACTTTGACAAGAGCCAGAAATAAATTTATACCTTATTTAAGCCCAGCCAAGTGGGGTTTCCTCTCACTTGAAGTTGGCCCTAATCCTAACTAATACACACACTAATCTCCAGTCCGACTTCTTGAAGCCAGGTGGCAGACTTACAAAGTACAAAGCATGATACTGTATGAACTATTCACTTTGTTCAAAGGAAGCTGTGGGCATGACCGGAAGGCTGGCATGCAGAATGTTATCCTGTGGGAAATGTCAGCTGTGGAAAAGCATTACAGTAATGTAATATACAGCAATACAGCAATGAATCACCTCTTCTTGTGTCCACGTGCTTCTCTGCAATGTGATGTTGCCACTCCTCCCATCAAGAGGCAGAGGCTCTCTCTCCACCCCTTGAATCTGCTTTGGCCTTGTGACTGGCTTTGACCAACAGAATGTGACAAAAGTAACACTGTGCTAGTTCCAGAGTCTAAGCCATAAGAGACCTTGCAGCTTCCACTCTTACCCTCTTGGAACCCTGAGATCACCAAGCTCTGACGCCTAGGATAGCTTACCAGAGGATATGAACCCATGTGGAGGACAACAGAAGCACCCTAGCACAGAGCCAGCACCAACTGTGAGACATTTGATCTTGGATTTCCAGACTCTGCAACTGTGAGAAAATAAATTTCTATTGTTTAAGCTATCCAGTCTGTAGTATTTTGCTGGGGCAGCCCTAGCAAACTAATACAGATGTTTTCATATTGAAAAAGAACTAGTATCTTCAACGAGCACAAGGTCCTTACCCTTGAGGTGCTCATGTTGAAGTAGGAGGAGGGAGACATTAAATTTTAATACAAAGCATATGATAAATGCTACGGTGGAACCACGTGAAGAATACTATGGGAATCCAGAGGAGAGAGACCTAACCGGCTGTGGAGAGGGAGACAATGGTGGGTCCAGTGGGAAGAGTTTAGGAAACCTATCCTGGGGGTGAGATGCCACCTTCAGTGTTGAAGGAGGAGTAGGGATAATAGCAGAACTAATTACTGGCCTCTTTGCTGACCTTCTGTGCTTGATTGTCATAAAGAGCACTGGTCCCATACAAGGATTTCAAGAATCAGTAAAATCTCAATAAACATACATACACAAACTGGGGAATGGGTATACTGACACAGTGTTGCCAATATCCTATTTTACTTAAAAAATAAAAGGACATTTAAAATGGTATCTGTCATCATCACCACATCATTAAAGATATTTTCACATAAACAATAGGAAGCACATTATCTCATAATAAAGGACGATTCCTTAAATTCGATACATTTAGCTTTAGATTCCCTCCATTATCCTTGGTTTTTGCACTGTACATGCATTAGTAGTCTTAGACCAGCAATTTGATGGCCACTAGAGCTTCAAGGCAACTTTTATCAGTCAGATTATGAGCCAGTATTTGATTTCTTTATATAGCAAAAACTTCTAGTTTTTCTCCATACTTCCCTTCTTCCATAGAAACAGAGCTTATATGAGGTACATGGCTACTCACCCAGAGACTACATCTTCATCCTCTTTTCAGAGCTAGATGTGATTATGTTTAATATGATATGATTAAGTGTTGGCTAATGGGATATAAACTGAAGTAAGGCGTAAGGTGAAGTTATATGTAAATTTCCGGGTCACCTCTACCTTAAAAGATAAGCCACTTGCCTTGGAGTTTCTCTCTTTTTCCCTTCCAGAGATTGGAACACTGAATGTGCCCACAAGGTAACTGTGACCATGAGGATGAAGATATCATCTTATGGAATACTGAAGCAATAAATGGGAGGAATCTGGGTCCTTGAGTGACTTTGTCAGAGAGAGACTCTCCGCCAAGCTGGACCACTCACCTTGGGACTGTAACATGAGAAAGAAATGAACTTCCATGTTATTTAAGCCTCTGCATATAGATGTATACTTTTTAGTGTTTCTTTTTTTGGGACAGCTTAGTCTTTACCCTAATAAACAAGTCCCACTCTCTCTTGCTTTTACAGTGCTTTTACTTCCCCTTCAGAAGTTCCATGCTACTCCTATTATCCCACCCACATGGGATATACGAATTACTAGGTCACCAGAGGAAGACATTTATACAATATTCTCCTACCTAAAGTGGAATTCCCCCAGTGAAGCCCAGTTACCTTCTTACTGCTCTTGTATAGTTTCCCCCACAAGTCTCCGCCTTGTTCCCTTTGACCTACTTAGACTACAGTTAAGAGAACCATTCCCATGGTGGTTTGGCTGCTCAACCAGTGGACGCAGTTCACTCTCAGGACTTTCCACGCCGCCTCTATGACTTCCCTTTTCTACCTTCTGAACACTGCCTCTTTTACTTTCCAGAGAACTAGATAATACACATTCCCTTTCAAATCACACAGACACTTCCAATAGTTATTGAACTGATACTTTGTAAGGTATAACATAAAATGATGAAATATGGAAAGTACCTGACTTTTCGGTCTACTTGGAAAAAACAGGCAAATAAATAGGCAATTATAAATTAAAGTGAACAGTTCTATAATTGAAATAAGTACGTATATCATGGGAATACTTAAAAGAGGCACCTAACTCAGTGTTTGTACAGGAGGGAGTATGTCAAGTGAAATAAAGGCGTGGATAAAGGTGAAGTAAATGTGTACCTTAGCTGTATAAAATGTACACCTGTTAATTAGTAATGAGACATAATTTTAAAACTTCGAATAATTTACGGTATATAAAATAAAAAGTGAAAGTTCCTCCACACATATTAACCTTAATACCCATATAATATCTGACATATGTTCTTCCAGATATGTAGATATAACAATATATATCCATATAGGGTTTTATTTTTCAAAACTCTAATCACTGTATACATATTGTTATGCAGCCTCCTTTTTTCACATGGGCTTGTTTCCTTATCATGCATGTATATTTACCTTATTAAAAAAATAGTTTATAGACTTCTCTACTAATGATACACTAACTTATTTAATAAATCTCTTCTTTTTTGACATTTAGGTTGTTTTCCATTTTTTTCTTCTAATAGTAGTATTTCAAGGAACATTCTATCCATTGGACTTAGCAATAAATATTAAGAGAAAAATATTACAATCTAAAGATCTTATACCTGCCTAAAATATCATGTATGTAAGAAAGAAAATTAGACATTTTTAGATATGTAAAGTACCAGAAAGTTACCTTCTGATTTTCTTCCTGGTGAATTCACTTGAGGAATCACTCTAGCAAAATCAAAATAAAAGTAAAACTCTATATCTCAGGGGAATTTAAAGCGTATAAAAACATGAATGAGTAATCAATTCAGTAAAATTTAAAAGACCAGAATAGAGGATCATAGCGTGGTTCCTGAATGAGGAACTTGAATATTATAATGAAATTGATATTTCCCAAATTAATGTTTAAGCTTCTTTCAATTCCAAACAAACTCTGAGAGGGGTCTGTTTTTGAATCATGACAAAATTTTCTAGAAAAACAAGTAAGCAAGGATGGTTAAAGAATGTTTCTAAAAAAGGGGCTGGAGGTTCGTATTTGCCTTATCAGACGCTGAAGAATTATAAATATACAATAGTTAAGGCATGGTAAATACTGAGAATAGACAGATAAACCAGTGACCCAGGAGTGACAGCCTGGAACTAGGGCTCATAAAATATAAAAAAATAAACATATAACATATTTTAAAGAAATTACAAATCTAAGGGTAAGGAATTGTTTCTTTAATAATTAATGTGGGGAAAAAGGAATTTTTTTTTTTTTTTTGGTGAGGAAGATCGGCCCTGAGCTAACATCTGCCAATCCGCCTCTTTTTGCTGAGGAAGACTGGCCCTGGGCTAACATCCATGTCCATCTTCCTCCACTTTATATGGGATGCCACCACAGCATGGCCTGACAAGCAGTGCATCGGTTGCACGCCTGGGATCCGAACCGGCGAACCCCAGGCCGCCGCAGTGGAGCGCCCGCTCTTAACCACTTGCGCCACCCGGCTGGCCCCGAAAAAGGAATTTTTTGATAAATATTTTATTAGAAATTTGCATCACAACATACATGCAGATAGATTAAAGAGTTAAAAATTCAACCATATGAAAATTGGAGAGGGCATAGAAGAAAGTTTCTATCATCTCTTTATGAGGAAGGACTCCCTCAAGCAAAAAAGCAATGGAAGAAACCATAGGAAAAGATAATAGATTTGACCACACAAAAATATAAAGTTTCTGTAGTTCAAAAGAAAAAAAAAAGAGATAAAAGGAAAAGGCAAATTACAAACTGGGAAAGATTTGTACAACATCCATTGCAAAAAACAGGGTTACTATCACTTGTCAAAACTCCAAATACTGGTTAAATCCAATTCTGAGCCTAGTCTGTGCCTAAACCTTCACCTTTGTAAAAAAATACAAAACCACGTGCACTAACTTTAAATTTACTGTCAACTGCCTTCAAGCGAGACTTTAGTCCTGTTCGAAAATTGTAATACATTTCCCTAGTTCACTTACTCTCCCAGGTTCCCCGATCACTATTTCATACCGTGTCCACACTTCAAACTTCCACCATCTCCTCCCCATCCTCACTGTAAACTGATGATCTTGCTTATTTCACTCAGGATATAGTAGCAATCAGAAGAGAATTTCCACACACTCATACCACCATATCATCCCACCCACTAGCATTTCCCATCTTGTTCCAGAAGAACCTTCTATGCTCCCATCAATCCCTTCACAGGGTGTCTCACTCCCACCCCCTCTCACCTATTCAAGGACAAGGACGTGTCTCCAGAAATTCCCATTCCTCCCTTTCTCTACTGAACCAGTCTCTTCAACAGTCATGATATTATTTTTCACATCTTAAAAAAAAATCTCTTTCGTCCGAACTTCCCCTCAAGTTATTGCCCCATTTCCCCACTCTCCTTTGCAGCAATCCCCCTAGAAGGAGCTTTGCCATTTCCAATTCCTTGACTTCCATTCTCTCTTGAACTCAGTCCATTCAGACTTTCACCCCCACCAACTCCATTGCAACTGCTCTTGTCAAGGTCACCAGTGACCTTCATTTATGCTAAACCCAATGATCAACCCTGTTTTATCTCGCCTGACCTATCAGCAGCATTTGACACAACAATCACCCCCCTTCCCAGAACATTCGATTCACATGGCATCCAGCCCACCACTCTCCTTACTATGTTCTTCCTGACTGTCATGAGAGGTTCGGGGGATTCGATCGGAGATGTAAAAGAAACTCTCCACTCCAAACAAATGGACTGAAGGTATATTTTATTATATAGAGGAGAGTAAAGGTGATAGTCCGCAAACAGATCCGAATAGGTCAAATATTAAGAGGGAAAAACATCAGCTTGACTGGAAAGGGAAAACATCCACATTGACTGAAGGGAAATGACACAAATCAACCAGAAAGAGAAACACTAGGTTGACTGAAAAGAGAACACATCAGATCGGTTACTCACAACATCCACGGCCCACTGCCGGGAGAGTCCCTTCAATTGACATGGCTAGGCGGGAATCATATGTCCTGGGCAAGGCGTCCCTTCCCGAGGTGGAACTCTCATCAGGCCTCGGTTTCCGGCAGTTTATATAAGCAGTTACAGAGTTTTGCAGAGCAAGCATTTAGCATTCCGACGCACAAATGGTTATCAGTGGCGTACCTGCACTGAGGCCCCTGGCTATCGTCCCAGACCAGCAGTCATATACGTGCATTGTTCTCTCTGGTTATCGCCCCAGCCCGGCACAGATGGCCAGTCCGTCCCGTGCTATGACGCCCACAGAGCCTTGAAATGTTACAACTTGCAACTCTCTCCATGGGAGAAGGGGCAGTTCCCACCACACAGAAAGCAGCTTTTTATATTTCTTTGTGTGCTGGTGGCTTAGGTCAACGGAATGGCCAAACATGGCTGTACTCATGTCAAGACACTGCCCCACTGTTTTTCATCTCTAAAATGACCCTCCTGGTCTTTCCACATCCCCAAAACTGTTCCACTTGTGGTCTTCCCCATTTCAGTGAATGACTACTCCATTTTTCCGGTTGCTCAGACCAAAAATATGGAAATCCTATTTCACTCATCTCATTTTCTCATACCCCACTTCCAACCAGACAGTGAACCTGTTGGCTGTATCTTCAAAATCGATCCAGATGCTGATCACATCTTACCACCATCACGGCTACCACCCTGGTGCAAGCCACCACACCTCTCAAGTGGATTAATGCACTAACCTCCTAATGTTGGGTCTTCGCTGAAAACATTCCAACAGAGTCCTGTCTCAAAGTAAAGCCAAAGTCCTCATAGATGATATGTCCCCTCCCCATCCTCATCTTGTATACGCTCTCCTTGCTCACTCTGCTTGCGTCACAGCAGCCTTCTTACTGTTCCTGGAAAAAGCCAGGCAGCTTGGGCCTTTTCACTGGCTCCCTTCCCTCCTTTGTATCTTCCCTCAAATATCACCTTTCCTGATGAGTGTCTGCCACCATTCCTGCTAAATCCCTATCCCTTCCCTTGATTCATTTTTCACCTTAGAACTCATCACCCTCGAATATACTACATACTTTTACTTATTTATTTTGCCAATGTCTGTCTACTCACATTAGAATGTAAGCTCTACAGGGGCCGGCCTGGTGGCTTAGTGGTTAAGTTCGTGCGCTCCGCTTCCGTGGCCCGGGGTTCGCAGGTTCAGATCCCGGGAGGCAACCTATGCACCGCTTATCAAAGCCATGCTGTGGTGGCCTCCCATATAAAGTGGAGGAAGATGGGCACAGATGTTAGCCTAGGACCAATCTTCCTCAGCAAAAAAGAGAAGGCTTGGCAACAGATGTTAGCTCAGGGCTAATCTTCCTCAAAAAAAAAAAAAAAGTAAGCTCTACAAAGTCAGAGATTTTTGTCTGTATTATTTTTTACTGATGCAGTCCCAGTGCTGGCACATAGCAGTTGTTCAATAAAGATCTGTTGACTAAACTAATGAATTATGTTTAATGAATATACAAAAGGCAAGTGGGAGTGTAAATCTCTTCAAAATTCCTAAAATGTAATTTGACAATACATACCAGAAGTCTTAACTACATACTCAGTAATTTCACTTCTAGAAATTTATTTCAATGCAGGATTTCCTAAGTTAATATAAAGGAAATACTGTTCCAGAGTATTAATAGATATGTGGAAAACAAAGAAAATATTCTGAAAAAAAAAATCTCTTCTACCCTGCTGTGGTTCTCAGACTTGGTTGCACATTATAATTACCTGAAGGGTTTTTAAATATATTGATGCCTGAGTCCCACCTTCAGACAGTCTGATTTAATTGGTTTGGACTGGTTGTTCCTCTTATGATATTAGCACCCTATGATGATTATTATTGAGATCCATTAATTCATTAGGGGCTGTAGGTGGTAATCTTGTTCACATCTCTGGGCCTGTTTTTTTCATATACAAAATGAAGGGGTGAGAGCACTTTATCTGTCAGCATCCTTCCAACTGGGACCCTCTATGTTCAGATGGGAAATGCTCTTATTTAAGGGTTGGTAGGAAGTATTTGCTGTTTCTTCCTGGTGATTTATTGGTGTATTTGTGTGCAAGCAAGTGTGTGAAAGGAGAGCACATCTGTGAGCTTTATAATGCTCTGAAATAAGAAAAGGTGTTTATTTTTATTATAGAGAAACTAAGATAAATCAAAATTCCATCAAGAGTCATCAAGCCCTCCACTCAAACATGTGTCAGATGTGAGGTTAGGGGAAACTGTCACATACTTCTTGTAGGGCCAACTAGAGCAAGTTAAGGAACAGGACTCTGAAACCAGGAGAGCTAGTTTTTTAAACTGTCATTTGTTTATTTGGTTTTATATATGTGTTACTCTGTTTGGGTTGCTATGACAGAATACCATAAACCAGCTGGCTCATAAACAACAGAAATTGAGAAATATATATTTTCTCACAGTTCTGGAGGCTGAGAAGTCCAAGATTAAGGCGCTGGTAGACTTGGTGTCTGGTGAGGGGCCGCTTCCTGGCTCACAGATGTCCATCTTTTTGCTGTGTCCTCACATGGGGAAAGGGGTGAGGGAGCTCCCTGGGGTCTCTTTTATAAGGGCATTAATCCCATTCATGACGGCTCTGCCTGCATATCTAATAACCTCTCAGAGGCCCCACCTCCACATACCATCACACTGGGGATTTGATTTTAACATATGAATTTTGCGGGGACACAAACATTCGTCTATAGCGACAATGGACACTGGGAAACATTAGCAAACAGCAATGAGTAACTCTTTTTGAAACATCCAGACATATACTATGAAAAGGACTTTTGATCCTACAGAAGCCCTCTCATGCTCTCTTTGTATGTGTGATTTGTAGCATTTCCTACAACATCCCTTTAAGTATGAGGACTATGATATATACTTGAATTAGCTAAATCTTCTACCAATAAAGAAACAATTTTGTTTTATTAGTTTTGACTTAGTTCAGTTGCCAATATTTTGTTTGTTCAGTTGAATAAACAATAAATTCCAGCAGCTATTTACACATATGGTGCACTTGAAAAAAACATTAAAACACTGAAGCCAAAGCTGTTCATGCTATCTTAACAAGATAATGTAGCTGAGTGGAATTAACTCATTTAGGGGTGCCTTTCTTCCCAAGGGAATCTACAAAGTTATTCCTCACAAGCCAACTTCACTGTACCCACACAATTAGACAATGGACATCAGATAAAATGCTACTGCTCTTATCACTGTGAACTACAAACCTCCAAAAAAGTCCACTTAGATAACCAAAGAAATGCACGTTTTAGGACAAATAACCTGTTTTGTAGAAAAAGTTACTGCATGAAACAGACAGCTGGTTTTAAAGCCCAGCTTCATAACTTACTATAAAATGAGAAAATTCACTTCACATATATGAATTATTAAGCAATATATTAACAAATATAAAGTGCTTAGAAGTGTAAAATGCCTGGCACTCAACAAATGCTCAATGTGTGTTAGCATTTATCATTATAGGGATGATTTGTGTGACTACTGCTGCAAATATTACTAAATATTACTTATGAGTCTTTTGGTTAAACCTTTTTAAGAAGATTAAGAAAAGATCTTTTTTTTCCTGACCTTGCCAATTATGCTACAAAGTGGATTACCTCTGTAATGTGAGAACACTGTAGTTCTTGTTAATCTTTTTTATTGTTAGCATCACCAGACAAGACGTCTAGTATCAAACAGTACTTGGCCAGCTGTTTTATTGATGTTGCAAAAATTTTAAATAGAAGGATAGTGCAAAGAGAGTGAAAATGACCTTTGTGATCCCAGAAATCAGGACCTGGGAGTGACCATGGGTAGTGGGTGGCAGGCAAAACTTACAGGAAAATTTTTATCAGTGAGGACCCAGATAACTAGAACCTTATGTACAGGATTCTAATGGATGCCCTTCTGTATTGTACTGGATCTTACGAAGCAATATCTTCTTTACACCGAGTAGTGGTGTTGAGCTTCTCCTCATCTCAAAATAAGTTTATGTTTGGGCTACGAAAATGAAGAAGGCCTGAAGAACAACAGTCTTAGAAGGAAGAAGACCACGAAGCAATCTTGTGAGTATAGTAAAGAATCAGTAACATAATCATTAGGACCTAACTGGCTGGGCAGAGTGATGGATCTCTTTGCTTATCTCACTGAATGGTAATATTAGGAGAGATTGTCTGGGTGGCAATAGTTGTCCTAGGCATTCCCTTTCTCTTTTTCTTAACCACCACCCTTGAGGAGTGATTTGGGGGTAGGTGAAACCAACTGGCCTGGTTTGAAGACTTCCTGCACTGCCCATACCATCTTGTTTCTCAAGGCTGTCTTTAGTTTTGGTGAATGAGAAAGCGTTTGGTTGCCATTTCCTTTCTGAGAACTGCTGAGTTAGTAGGGAAGGAAGTAAATGTTTGGCTGAGTTCTGCCCTGTGGGGGAAGGGCAGGGCTGGCCTGCTCCTCTGAGCACCAGCTTCTGCTTCTGTGGGTCTTGGTTCCTAAGTGTCTGGTTCCTCTTTATAAATGTCAATGAAATTGTTCTGAGCAGCCCTACCTAATCCCCTTTCTGGGAATAAATGACTGAGGGGGCAGGGAGTGGCTAACTTTCTTTGCCCAAACTCTTGGCCACAACTTTGCTAAACATTCTTAATTGGTTTCCTGTCTATGGTTAATCTTTTAAAGATCTTGACAAACCTTCTAAAAGAAAAGGTCTGATTTAAATATTGCTTCTATGAGAATGTTTTTTGCCTATGTTAAAGAACATAGCTTTGAGGAAAATCCAATTGAAGCATCAAGTTCTGTCAGATAATCATGGTAGAATCAGAGCTTCTGATCAGGATCCAGAGTCTTTGGGAGCCCTGAGGTTGGATGTGGTTCTGCCATTAACTGACATGTTTCATCATTTGTTTTATTTGATGTTGAAATCATGTTTATAATATTATTTTACACCACTTTCCAGCATTACATCACTGTCTTTGGCACTCCAGGCCTCATTTGTCCATTAAATGGAAGCTTCTGCCTCCTTAAGAATGTCTTAAACCTCCTGCTACTGTTGTGATTACCTTTGAAACTCTTTTCTCTGGCTATAATATATCTATGCTCCTTTTTCCAGATGTTTGGGAAGTCGTGGTTAATCTAAAAATATTCAGAAAGAATCCAGGAAAAATTAAGGCATCTGCCATGCAAATTCTCTGACACTCTTCTCAACATTTCCGCTACTGTCACAAATAGTTAATTCAATGATTCTTTAAAGCCCTACGGATATATTTTGCTGCTAATACTTTATTTCTTCTTTCTGTTTTTGACCCTTATAATTCCACCACTGCAATATAAGTCTAAAAATTACCTTTAGGCTAGAAGGCTCTGGTGTCAAGATTGCCCAGATTCAAAATCCAGGTTGGCCATTCTTTAGCTATGTGGTCTCTGAGTTTTATCATCTGTAAAATGGGGATAAAAATAGCAGTCACTACATAGGATTGATGAAAGGATTAAGTAATCACGGTTTAAACTATTGTTGTTGTTTTTTTCTTTAATAATAGAAAATAGGCGGGGAGAAAATATTTATTGAGTATCTACTATTTGCCAGATACTAGCTGGACAATTTATTTATGACCCCATATAATCCTCTGTGAAACAGGCATCCTTTTATCTTTCACATGATTAAATTATGACTAGAAAGCTTAACCAATTGTCCTAAAGGTCACATAGCTAGTAAATAGTTCGAGCCCAGGTATGTTTCTAAGCACATGCCCTTTTCACTACAGGTAAAGAAAACTTTACTCATCTTCTTTTTTTTCCCTAGGTTATAATGTTTCAGGGTTTCCCACTGCTGTGATATTTCTTTGGATGTATAAAAACAAGTGCACGACTAGATAGCTCATGAAAAGACATGGAGGAAAGTTAAATGCATATTACTAAGTGAAAGAAGCCAATCTGAAAAGACTACCTACTATATGATTCCGACTAAATGACGTTCTGGAAAAGTCAAGACTATGGAGACAGTAAAAAGATCAGTGGTTGCCAGGGGTTAGGGGAGAGGGAAGGATGAGTAGGTGGAGCACAGAAGATTTTTAGGGCAGTGAAACTACTCTGCATGATACTATAACAGTGGATACGTGTCATTATACTTTCGTCCAAATCCATAAAATGTACGCCACCAAGAATGAACCCTAGATAAACTATGGACTTTGGGTGATAATATGATGTGTTAATGAAGGTTCACTGCAACAAATTTCCCACTCTGGTGGGGGATATTGGTAATGGGGGAGGCTATGCATGTGTGGGGGTAGGGGGTATATAGGAAATCTCTGTACCCTCCTCTCAATTTTGCTGTGAACCTAAAACTGCTCTAAAAAATAGTCTACAAAAAAAACCACACCAAAACCCAAACAAGCGTAGACAAGCAAAGCAAAATGGGGAAGGGGTGTAATCTGAGAGAGGAGGGGTAGGGAAAGATAAGTCTGCAAAGGAACTTGACTACTTGTCTATCCGCCTAGTATTATTGGGTGAAAAGTGCAAGACCAGGTTGGACGACGTGTGTTGAAGTCCTGCTTGCTCACAAGTTGCTGGGTGACCTTCAGCAAACTACCTCACCTTTCTGGATCTCACTTTAAACATGCTTAAAAAATGAGGCGGTTAAACTGATCTCCAAGTTCCCTTCTGGTCCTAAAATTCCAGCCTTGCAGCAAGGACCTGTCCCTGCCTGGTTTTCTGCTCCCTCCCCCACCAGCCACCCGAGCCTGCACCTTCTTATTCGACTGCACACTTTTTACCGTACCCACTGAGTCCTAAACACAGCAACCGTTCCCCGTGACCGTGGGACAAAGGGCAGGGGCGGAAGACTGAACTCAGAAGTAAAACAAGCAAGAACACCCTGAAGGTGGACAGCGACGGACAGAAACCGGCAAAGGTGAACCGCAGAGCGAAGAGAACGCCGCGCGACGACGGCGGAAGCGGGAGAAAGGTGGGGCGGGGCCGAGAGCCGATTGGCAGACTGAGGGGGCGGGGCCTGCGTTGACAGCCCTGGGGAGGAGCGAGGGAGGCTGCGCGCGCGTCGCCCGCCCATTCGCGCCCCTACGCTTCCCCTCCCCCGTGCCTGGCGGGGGGGCGGCGGGCGTGCCGACGCCGCATGACGTCATAAGGGGCGGGGTGGGCCGGGGGTCCTGCCGGCGCGCGGGCGCGTTCCGCAGTCGGTGTTTCGGGCGCTGAGGCTGCAGCTGCTGGGTTTGTGCTCCCAGTGTGGTGTCACGGCCCGTCCGTTCCCGGAGCCCGGGTCACACTGGCCGCGCGCCCGTGCGTGTGAGCGGGACTCAGGGCAGAGGCGTCCCCTTGCTGCCTTTTTTTCCTTCCTTCATCCAAAGAAGGGGGCAGCTCGCACGCTTGCTTTCCTGTCGCCCCGTGGGGAGCGGGGTTGGTGTGCGGAGTGGTTCGTCTTTTTTCTTTCACACTTGTGAGCGCTTTTTTTTTTTTTTCCCTCCATTTTTTAGACTCAGTGCCGTCTGGGCTGGTTTCCTCGGTCCCTGACTAACTGCTTTCTGCCCCTTCTGCCACCCCCGCCCAAGGTCGCCCGTCCGCCCTCGCCCCTGGCCCGGGAGGGTGGGAAGCTTGGTCCCGCTCCCTGCCCGCCCGCGTCTCCGCAGCCGCACCTGCCTCGATATGAATGGGGTCAACGACCCACTTCTTTTTATAAAAGATATTAAGCCCGGACTGAAAAACTTAAATGTCGTCTTTATTGTCCTGGAGATAGGTAAGTGGGGTCCGCAGCCCGCCCCGCCGCCCCTGTGCGTCCCGGGGCGGGAGGGAGGGGCGCCGCCGCCGCGAGCCGGGGGCGCCCCTCCCCCGCCCTCCCCTCCCCCCTCCCCTCCCCCCTCCACGTGGCCCCGGTGCCCCCGCTGGGGCTCGGATCCTACCTGCGGCGAGAAGCCGGGCGCGGCCTCCTCCCGCCTCTCGGATGCAGTGATCCCGAAGGAGGAGTTAGAGAGCCGGTCTGGAAGTCCTGGTTATCTGATACACCCTCCCCGCTTTTGATTTTTAAATCCTCACAGGACGCGTGACCAAAACCAAAGACGGCCATGAAGTGAGATCATGCAAAGTAGCAGATAAAACGGGCAGCATCACTATTTCCGTGTGGGATGAAATCGGAGGTCTCATACAGCCGGGGGATATCATTCGGTTGACCAGAGGGTAGGTGTGCCTAAAAGGTGGGGGCGGAGGGAGAGTGCCTGCCTCGGTAGCAGTCTGCGGAATCGGAGTTGGCAGATGCCCCGACCTTGGCAAGCTCTGAAGTTCTGTGTTTTTTCTGTGTGCAACTCCCAGGAATTTTGAGCCCCTTCGATGTTCACTTTGGGTGGTGGACAGGGTTGGGAAGTAACACCTTCGCTTTTAAAGCAATCGGTTTCAGCCTGAAATGTAACCCCAACCGCCCCCCACACCCCCCCATACACACAGTGTACCAGTTAAGTATTTTTTTAAAGTCTGTTCTGGGATTATTGAGTCTTTTTAGTAGATTGATAAGATTAACATATTCAATACTTTATCTTTTTCGTCAGTTACTTAATACAGTTATCACTTCTTTTCCAAGCTTCTCCCCTTTTTAATGGCTTTTGAAATCTTGCCAATATTTTACATGTACTTATTTTACTTATTTTATTTAGACGGTGTGGACATAAATTAAGACTGTAGTTGGAGAAGTTAGCAGTTTTTGTTGCAGGTCAGATTTGTACTTGGAGGTAAAAGTTAAGAGAAGTTTACAATATCTGGAATGCACATTCTCGAAAATGATTTCTTGTGCCTACTGCTCTAAGGTCATTGTACAAAAAGCAGAATGATGTGCAGAGTATATTTGGCAGAAAGACGTCTATGATACCTCCATCCAAGAGAGTCAGTTGGCAGATTGCTTTAAAAAATAATTTAGCACAACCTTTTTTTGGGTTAGTAATTAGACTGCCCTTAAAAATTTACCAAATTTTTATCTTAGGAAGATAAAAGGCCAGAAAAGGGTCTTGAAAATAGATTTTGGGAGCTTTTGTGATCAATAGAATTGTAATAATTTATTGGTCATAAAGGAAAAGTAGGTGGAGATTGATGTTGGCATAGTAAATAGAATCTCAGAGAAGTAGTATTGGATCACCCTGAATGGAGGAGTTTAGAGCCCTTAGATATCATGTGACAGACTTACATCATCTTCAGGAAGTGAGGCCGAGTTTCATCCAAGGAGGAAGTGAGAGTCAGGACTTAGACATTTTATTCTCGTACACTGACTCATTATGACACTAATTGTGTCTTAAATTTCCACCTCTTTAACTTCCACAAAAGAGTTCCTACCTGAGAGGGCGTGGTGAGGATTAGCATAATTAAAGTTTTTTTGGTTGCCAAACTCTCTCTCATCCAGTGATTGAAGGTATCTTATACACTGTAAACATCATCTCCTTCCAAATATTTTATATTTTGTAGTCACAGAAAATACATAGATATGTCTGTCAAAAAAATTGTGGAAAAACTAAATTTATTTGCTCTATAGTGTCTGTAGGATTTTAAGGAGTACAATTACCAAGAAGTACAATTTAAAGGAAAATTCAAAACTAAAGAAACTACTATTTCCTAACTTAAGTGTGATCTTGAAGTTATTATACTTCTTCAACATCTTCTGGAAAATGGGAATAATTATACCTTACTAAAATAACACATCCAGCTTGGAGTCTGGCCCATTGTAAGGCCCTTAGATTCTGGTTGAATCTAAGAAAAGTCGCTTTTGAAGAAAGGCATACATCTAAATAATGGTAATTTGAGTATTGGTATGTTTATCAGAAAACACTGCAAATACTGATCTCATTTATTTCATTCCTGAAACAAGTGAAAGTTAAATTTTTTAATTGTAGTAACAGTTCAAATTTTTTCTCAAAATAGGCATTAATTCTTACTTCAGTAAGGTGAAAGATTAGTGTACTGTCTCCTAAGTCACTTTTTGTATAACATAACAGAGTGGTGAATGGAGTTTTTCATAAATAACCCTTAGTAAAGGAAGAGAAACGTAGGATATGGAACTAGCAAATTTTTATAACCTGTATTAAAAGAACTATCAAGCAGTATTTAGTTATAATTTATCATTCTATGTTACCATAGTAATTGTATAATGAACCAATGAAAACCAAACCTTGGACTGATTTTATAATATTGATTAATTTACATTTTTCTTAGATTTGTGTATAGGATTATCTTATCCAATGATGCTTTCTGCATTCAAAATTCGTTAGGATAAACAATTGTTCATCCAAGTTGGTGCTAAAAATTGGGAATTTGGAAAGGCAGATAGGTGATAGATTTGTGACCTTAGTTTTTTTTAGCACCTTGATTAAATTTTAACACATTTTCAGTAGCTTGAGAACCCTGTCTAAATTTTATGGAGGCGAAGGAAACACTTATATCAATATCTGACTAGACTGAGTAAATGAGTGTAAAAGTGAACACTAGGTTGTTGATTTCATATATCCTGTGATTGAAAAATAATTTCTGCTTGAATCTGCAATTGAAATTTGCAATTGTTAATTGACTAAAGGTGTGATCTTTGGAGTATAACAATGCTTGCTTTGCAAAAAGACTGTTTTCTAGGTTAGTTATAGTTTAGATAATTATGTCAAAATTTGTCAGTAGATTTTTCTTTGTATTATTCCTTACTAATTAACAAGTTAGTCAAAATTAGATTCATTGTATTTGATTTGCTCTGGTAGACAGAGGGTCTGATCTCCACCTTGCTGCAATACAAAAAATTTGGTGGAAAGATTTACCTGATTTAAGTAGTAGGAAATGTACATATTTCTACAGAACTGATGTTTGTTTTCTTTCTAGGTATGCATCCATGTGGAAAGGATGTCTGACACTTTATACTGGAAGGGGTGGTGAACTTCAAAAAATTGGGGAGTAAGTATTAAAATGCATTTCATATAATTGAGTAAATTACAATATAATAGCTATAGAGTAACTGGTAGGTATAAACTATAAACGCCTTCCTTGGCTTTTTTTGACTGGTGAAGTGAATGCCTTCAGCAGCTTAAATGTAAAAATAGCTTAGCATGTATATACTAGTTTAACAGCTATCAGTACTGTTTCCTATAGTTGAGAATGTCAGTTTTTCCTGGCAAAGGGCATTAAGAATGCGCTTGAGACAAGCCCCAGTGGGAGCATTTCTGTTGGCTTGAAAACACGCATCTTTCAGGTGTCACAGGTGCCATTTGAAGTAGGTTCCGTCTTCTAGTGAATTGCCAAATTTAGAAGCTAAGTATGGGTTTCAGGCCATAAGTTTAAATTTTCTTTTTCTCTGTTTATGGGTGAATATGTACTTGTGGTAAAAGGACTTGAGCAGTGAAAATTGAAGTCCTGTGTTTATCCGCAGTCTAGGTACCGTACAGGCAGCTGTAATGTGAGCTTCCATATGCTACTACCCTGATAGTCTCCACCCTGACTTGGAGGAACCATCCTCTCTAGGGGTGTGAAGGTAATTCAGCCTCCATGCTGGCCTAGACATTTGGGATATACTCACAAAGTATGGTATAGGCAGTGAGCCAAATCATTAGTCCATTCTCTTTGGTTAATGCCGAGACATCTACTTAACACCCATCAAATTGGAGGTTATTTAAAGAGAGAAGCCACAAATGGCACACTGAACAAGAGAAGACTCTTCTACACTGCAGAGATAAGATACTTTGGGGAAAAATAAGCAATCTCGCTAGCTTTTAAAGATCAGAAACTGGTAACACTGCCTTCACTAGGAGGAAAATTAAGATTCACTTATGTTTGTGTTTAGAGTAGTATTAGAGCAACGTGTTATGAAAGGTCTTAGAGTCAATATTACCAAAACATCTCGGATCCTGTCCCGACCTTCATGTACCGAGAGGTATTTATGATAACGGAGATCAGTTATATGAAGAACCACTGGAGATCACTCAGTTCTTGGTGACTTAAACTTTGTCAGGGTTTGTCTGGTATTTACCTAAACTTGTTTTAGTTTCTTATTTGTGGGGTGAGGAGTTAAGAAAATGCTTATGTGTAATGTTAGTATACTCGATAGTGAACTTACAAGAAGCATTGGGATAAACTGTTGTCTTGATAGCCAGTTGTCTTCTCAGGCCTGCAGAATCCACTCTTAACCTTGAATGATTATCTTTGCAGATTCACAGTGATTGGTCAAAAGAGGGACTGGAGGAGAGTGTGTGAATGGATCAGTGCAAATCCATCACCACTGCTGGGAGAACCCTCTGGAATCCTAAACATGGTCCAGTGGCGTCAGCCTATGTGGAAAAACAGGACAAAGATGTATTTCTGTGTCCTTGATCTTTGACATGGTTTATTTCTTGCAGTGCAGAAGAATTAAAATACAAAATGGAATGTTTATACATTGTAGGCAATCAAATATTTGATGTTTTTATGGAACATTTAGAAAGTTTTTGTTGTAAACGAAGAGTGAGTTAGCATGTTGCTTTTTGGTTAATTCATTTGACACCGAAATTCTTCATTCCTATAAGTTCTGCATGTTCTGTAAAGAAGGTTGATTATTTCAGAAGTCATTTAACTTGTCCTTTATTTTCTTTTAGATTTTGTATGGTTTATTCAGAAGTGCCAAATTTCAGTGAACCCAACCCAGATTATCGAGGACAGCAGAACAAAGGGGTAATTAATCCAAATGTATAGTCTGTTTCTGTGATTAGGCTAATGGTGACTGTGTATCGTAATTCTATGGCTAGGTTTCTGACCCTGTTATACCCAGAGTATAATGAAGACAATTTAAAAAAATCTTTTTAAAGTCATTTTTATTCTATAGTTTTGTGAGTCTATATGTGTATCTGTAGTATCTAAATATATGTGCCATTGAGCCTTTGAGGAATGGGGAGTGGTATCAGGAAATACAGTAAGCTGTAATAGAAGCTATGAAAGGTTTGGAAAACATTCTTGGATATTTTAACATTGAATGGAACTGAGTAAATCTTTAAAAAATTTGTTGAAAAAAAAACTTCAAAATTAAAAAAAGAATGAGTACAACAGTGTTTATTATAATAATATAAATGTGTGGTTTTTTTGAATCTTCATTTGGTTAAATTAAAAAAATTTTTTTTAGGCACAGAGTGAACAGAAGAATAATTCCATGAATAGTAATATGGGTACAGGTACATTTGGACCAGTGGGTAAGATTTTTTTTTTCTTCATGTTTGTGATCAGGTGTAAGTATTAAGAGAATATGTCTTAGGAAAGATTTAGAGGAAAAAATTGTCTTTAGGCATAAATTAGTACTAAAAGAGAACTACTAGTAAACAGGGAATTCCCAAATAACTGATTTTTCTAGAAAGCAGATACCCTTTTAAGCTAATTTATTGAGCACATTCTGTATTTAAACATTTGGGCCAGTTACTGGGAATACAGTGGTGAACATTGGCTAATAATAAGAAATTTAAGTTTTAGTGGTGCATCATGTTATTTTTCTACTGATTTTTATCACATTTCTGTAATCTATTCATTACTTATAATGGATGCAGAATTACTGGTTATTTTCCGTACACCGAAAGCCTTTTATCTTCAGAGGAATAGCTCACCTTAATATTTCACATGCTGATAGCTACCTCTTTAATAGATTAGCCTTTACTCCTCCAATACCCAAGTGTCACGTGAATGGTTCTTGCGGCCATGTTAAAGATCTTTTGAAGTCTTTATTTAAGAATAAATAAGACTGAGGAAATAAAAAAGACTGAAGAGAGTCTTTTGTGATTGGAGTTTATTAGGTGGCCGAAGTTTTATTTGGCCTGATTGCTACATGTTTTGGTACAGCTGGTGATCATCACATTGTGGGAAACTTTGCTATCTTTTGTTGTTGGTTTTTTTTTTTATAGCACAGGCCACTGGAACTCTAATTTTTTTAATCTGTTTATTTTTCCCCCAAAGCCTCAGTAGATAGTTGTATGTCATAGTTGCACATCCTTCTAGTTTCTGTATGTGGGATGCGGCCCCAGCATGGCCAGAGAAGCGGTGCGTTGGTGTGCGCCCAGGATCCGAACCTGGGCCGCCAGCAGCGGAGCCTCGCACTCAATTGCTAAGCCACGGGGCTGGCCCTGCTGTCTTTTTTAAGAGTTAGAATTACATTGTCTCTTTTGAGACATTATTAACCATATTTGAACCAAATGCCAATACTCGTACAACATTCTGCCCTTTCTCTTTTTCCACGATAATGTAGGCAGTGCGTTATCTATGCTTTTTTTCCTCCTCTACTGATTTCTCGTTCTGTTGCCCAAACTGCTCTTTTTTCCTCTCTCTATTAATATAGCATCAAGTTAATATATTTACAGTAATCATACGTTTGGAAAAACCTAGAACCCACATTGAGTTTTTTCCAGTTTGAAAATAAAGCTGTTTGTTTTTCCTACTATTACTTGTAAACATTAAGAATTTCTGTTAGAACTTCAAATAGGTATATTTCTATAAATCAGTATCTGAACATGATGATAAATTTTGATATTCTTTTTTAGGAAACGGGGTTCACACTGGCCCAGAATCAAGGGGATGCCAGTTTTCATATGCTGGTAGAAGCAACGGCCGGGGACCTGTAAATCCACAGCTACCAGGAACAGCTAATAATCAAACAGTCATGACCACAATAAGTAATGGCAGGGACCCTCGGAGAGCCTTTAAAAGATGACCTATGCCAAATACTCACATGTAGTTTTTAAACTACATGCCCTACTTGAACACTTATTGCACTTTTATTTATTGTTAACTGTGAAAACTATGTCCTTTATCGGTTTCCTTTTACATTTTTGGTTTGTTAATAAGAGTGTTTTTGTTTATAGCAGAACTGTTAAGCTGCTCAAGTCTCCTATTGAGGAATGGGAACACTCTGAGAAGTAGGGGCATTTATTTTTAGAGCAAAAAGATCTTTGGGTATCCTCTAAAATATCTGCACCCATTTCGTGGGTGAGTTACTTAAGACATCAGCATTATAGCCTCTATGAGTCTATCTTCTGTATAAATTTTGTAATATTTAAAATAAGGCTTAGTGGGAGATGTTCTTTTGTCTTAAATTCAGATATTGCCAACTAAAGCAATAACCACCAAAAAAAACAAAAACTCAGTCAATGCTAGCAGCAATTTTTGAGTGTGACTCCAGGAATGATTGACTTCTTCATTGAGTGACTGCCATTAAGATTTTCCAAGGACTGACTCATCCTAAACTGTTGTTTTATTACCAGAAAACATATTCTTTATCAGAATTATGGGAAAGAAAGTGATCTGTATTATAATGAGTAATTTTTAAAAGAAAGCTATATTTATTTTAGGGTAGTCCTATTAATATTTATCACTTTGTGCATTACACAGAAGGAAAATTTAAAACTGAGGCCTTGAATATTTATTTTTTGAAGCTACCGTGTCGAATATTAAAGTATAACTTGAGGGAGTTTTAAAGTCATAATAATCATTGATCTAATTATTTAAAAAAAATTTTGGTAGATAAACGTTAGAGTGAAGGCAATTCAAATTGAATTCATGTAGAAATATGCAATCTTAAGTTATGTGGTCCTAGGTACTTGCAGAAACTCAGCCTGGAGTGAAAATCCTAGGCACTTAAACTTTTTTTGAGGTGCGTGTGTGTGTGTACGTATATTGTCAAAGTTTCTGAACACAATTCACAAAGCCTTATCAGCAAAAGTTAACAAATGGCTCTCTCAAGCGAATACAGCTTTATTCAGAAATGTAAAAGTAGAATTTATTTATGTGTTGTAAATGGTCCCCAGTTCCACTTTTTAGTGTAGGGTGGATAACTGGTCAAGTTTTCCTTTGTTAGAATTCAACTCTTCTTCAATATTCTCTCTTGAATAAAATTGCATTCATGTTAACAGACCTACCTAATTTTTGCTTTCAGTGATTTACAGTGGAGAGCCGGGACATTTGCCTGTAGTTGTCATGATGCCTTCAGCCTGGCGACTACTTAGCTATATTTGTTGCTTTGTCTTTTTTCCCCACCTTAAATCCCCCACTGGCAAAATAATTTAAGTAGACTTTGTTTTCTGAAAACTCCATAGAATTCGAATATAAAAATTTGTGCCAGATTATTTGTTTGCTTTAATTCAGGGTATCTAACAAATATTTCAGTACATGCTGTGTATTAGGCACAGTGTGGAGAGCGTTAAGGGTCAGACGAGATAATGAATAATTTCAAGGAGCTTATCTGTGATTTATAGTACTTTGGTAATGGAGTTTATAAATTCTAGAAAGAAATGTTTTCTTTATTCATATACTGATGATTATAGTTACTTTGACCTTGTGACTAGTAGTTTCTTAAGACGTTCAAAAATTGACAAATGTTTGGAGCAAAAAAAAATGCTACAAATTAGTATATAATTTTTTATTTTAAATCTAAGTAGAAGTTGGAGCAGTAACACTCCAAGTTATTTGTGGGAGGATATAGCCTTAAAGGTGATTTCAAAAGAAAGAATTTTGGAGTTTAAGAAAATTAAAATATCAGGTATGGATTGCTGAGCTTCCAATCCTGACCTGGTTATCTCGCCTGTGATGCTGGGCAAGTTATTGCATTGAAACCTCTGAAAGCCTTAGATTCCACAACTGAAAACAAGTAAGGAATGGTACCCCTTTGTGGAGTTACTGAAGATTTTCCACGGAAGTGATTTCTGGCACATAACAAGCAGTCAGATGTTTGTTGTCTAATCATACCTCAGTAACAGAAGAAAATGCAGGGTCAGGTGTGAAAGTATTGTTACCTTTAACATCGTAGGGAAAGACCTAAGCTTTTCCTTTTGTAATGGACACTTGCCTGAGTAATTGAACCTTGTTATTCTGTGTTTTTTATCATTTATTAACAAATTTCTTTTTTCTTAAGGGAAACCTCCAAAACCAAAGTGAGTCACAGTCCGTAATGAATGTTTGCCTTCCCAGTCTGCTGGAACAGTACTCATCAAGAAGTTAAGAGGAAGCAAGTTTCCTACCTTCCTCTTTCCTGGTGCTTTCAGCTGTCAACTTTTAAATAAGTTTAAACACCTCCTGAAAACAAAAACCGTTTAGTGTAGAAATACACACTACTAAGATTGGGTCCCATTTCATTTCTACAAAACAGTCCTGAAGTGGATTGAAGTCTCATGAGCCAGTGGGCCCCCCGTCTGGGCGGTTTCTTGGGGACTTGCCACAGTACGGAAAGGGGACGGCGTGTCACAGTGAAGGCTGCGGTGTGCTTTCCCATGGGCGTTCAGAAGGCGGCTCTTCTGTTAGAGCTGTGCCAGCTTTTTTGCTTTCTTCCTGTAGTTGTAGTAATTCTGTTTTAAATTTGACGACAGTTTAGCTTGAGGATACCCTGAATGTTTGTAGTACTGAGTATTTGTCACTCGTATTTATCATTTAACATTTTAAAAGTGTTTAATTTGCTGAGTTGAGTGATGATGCCAAGGGAATGATGTTGGAAACAAATAGATGTGAGGCTACTAAAAAGCTATAATTTATGATATGAGAACATGTAAAGTATAGGAAGCAGGTTAACTGGCCCTAAAAAGTTTTCTCAGAAGGTACAGATTGAGAGTGTTTACGTCAGTCTGAAGACACTGGGGCAGTTGTTAGCTTATGTAGACTAACATTCTAGTTTACTCACTGAAATGACTTCTGTTTTCTGGTATCATTAAGGTAATGACTGTTTGCTCTTGACTCTTAAGATCCTTTTCTCTAATGTATTTGGAAAGGGTCTAGAGACAACAAACCTGAAAACCATGAGACAGCAGAATCAAGGTGGAACCCTTTCCCCCACTTATGTCTGTTCTTACCTCTAGTTTTATTCTTGGGATTGCTTACCCTGTGGTGGCTCTTTTTTTTTTCTTTTAATCTGTTTCCTTCTCTTACTTATTTTATCCCCTATCTGATAACAGCCTATACTTTTGTATTAGAAAAGAGGGTCACAGTCATTGTCTAGTGTGGGTTATATGACAGGGGTAAAGGCAGATGTACTTGGCCACAGTGAAAACCTGTGTGTTGAGGATCCAGCCAATGATTAAATGTTGGGATAAACAGTCTCACATTTCACAAAGTGGCTATGGTGATTAACAGTTAAGGTATGCTTCTGAGGAAATCAAATTGTGACCTTTGGAAAATAGCACTGCCGTGAATGGTATGTTGTTAGGCCTTGAGGGAGAAGCTTGAAAAACATTTTCCAGGTATATTTTTTCTCCAAATTCCTTGAAGTTTGCTTTATTAGTAACGCAACAGAGTTGGTGTTCAAATACTGTAACCAAATTACTCCCGGTTTCTGATCTAAAAGGGTCTACTGATGTTTCTCAAAGCACAGATCACAGATGAAGGAACAGACTAGAGACAATCAAGTCTGGACTATCTGACAAGCCATTAGCATTTTTCCTCATTAAAAACATGAGACCCAAACATGTTACTTAGGGCTGTTTACCACTATGAGATAACCAGTGTGATGGGAAGAAAGTGAACATTTTATCACATTTGACAGACATTTAAGCCTTTTGAAAGGCCGTGAAGGGTAACCCACAATTTTATTGTGGCTCCCCAAGTTTTAAGAAGATGCCAATCCAACGCTTTCTGACTGGCTGTTGAACTGCAGTCGAGCCCAGGTCTCTTGAGACTGTTGACCCACCACAGTGCTCACCGTCACATCGTGCTTACTGTCTAACTTAACCTCAACTGAGGGGCTGTTGACATGTCTTTAAAAACCAATTCTTGATGTAACCATTTGTGATCAGAAATTCAAGTAAATTTTGTCTATTTTAGTCCGTCAAAATTTATGCCTCTGGACATAGTACAGTCTCCTGGTCCTTGTATTGAATATATATTGAATAAAACGCTCACAAAATAGTTTATAAACCACCTATGTGAGATTCTCCTCAGGACCTTGTCAGAAGTACAGATGGCTTCTCGGCTCTATCAGGAGAATTTATAAGTGTAGGTCTGGGAGAGCTATACTTGCAACAAAGACCGTGAAGATTTTTGTCTCCTGCCCTTGATATCTCCCCCTAACACAGAAATAACTTTTTTTTGTGAAGCAAAATTTCAAGATATATGTATCTCCATATATCCTCAGTTCCTTTTATCTTTGTGAGGCTCGAATATACCAGAGTTCTGGATTGTAAAACATGGAAAAATGGTGCTTAGAGGCATATGCCTCCAAAGGACAGAACTGATGGGTAAGGCAGGGTTGTCCCAAGCAGAATAGAGGTTGCTTGTGGCCTCCGGATGTGAGTTTTGAGCACTGTGAGTTTTGAATTAGGTTTAGATAGAAGTATTCAAATTATATCAGTGTTAAGATCAGATTATCTATAGTGGAGTCACCTAGCTTCCACTGGGCCTATGTAGATCAGAGTAAAAATAAGCTTTTTTACTGCAGGTTTCTGTTAAAAATTTTTTTAAATAGATTTTATTGGTTATCTTAGCAGATGTATGTTTGCAGCATCTTCTGTTTTCCTCCTATCCCCCAGAGCATTCCTCAATTCCCTACTTTATTTATTATGTGGAGAGAGCCTGGCCAAATTAAAAGTAGTGGATTGCAGGCATGATAAACATTCCTGAGGATGCATACGGAACCTACCACTTAAAGTGAACCTACCACTCAGTCCCGTTCTGTACAGAGGGGGTATGATAAATTTCCACCAACAGTAATATGCACAGCATATCTGACTGCAATGTGGGGCTAATTTTTTTTGAATTTCAAATATTTATAACGAGTAGGAGACTGAGTAAGACCTCTGACCAAAGTCGCTGGACTAAGGATAGAAAACATAAAAACAGGGTGGTCGGCATGACTGGTGCCACCTACTGGGTGATGACTAGGTCATTCCTGTCGTTGAGGAGTCTGGCCTAACAAGCGAGAAAGCGCCATTATTCCATTGGATACGAATTTTTGTCTGATGGTTTAAGCATGATAGGGACGATCATTAAGGGGTAGTTGGGCCATCTGTGTAATTTATGAACAAGCAACATTGTGACATCAAAACCCCTCAGTTAAGCAGGTTTATTAAGCCCTGAACTGCCCTAAAGCTACAGATAATACGGGAAAGGTTGCCAAATTTTGTATTCTTGTTACATTTGTCAGTGATAACTGGTGGGAAGTGTAAACTGTTAAAAATACCTTTGGGTGGGTGGTGTTTTGGTAAAAACAGTTGGAGTAGAACACGAAACTGCCCTTCCAAATTTTACCCCTTAGCCAGTGGTATTTTGTAGAATCCTGGCCGAATGACTTGTTTTTGTAGTTCTGTTACCTTTGCAGAGCATACCCTATTTTAAATGTCAGCGACAATGTGCTTTGGTGAAAAAAACATAGTTTTAAGCTGAGGAGATGTTGGTTTGAGTCTTGGATCTACTGTTTACTGGCTACATGACCCTAAGCCTCCTGATAAAAGAAGGATAATGGAGCTGCATCGTCGCAGGGCTGTGAGAACTGTGAGCCGATGTATGCAAAACGTGTGTTCCAGATCTAAGGCTCAACAAGTGTTAAGCTCTTCCTCCCTGAGCAATGGAAATAAGAGGCAAATACTGGTCATTTCTCCATGCCATTATTAGAAGACAATCTCTTCTGTAATTTAAAATCTGAAATATGAAGCAGTTTATATAAATTATTGTAATCAGGTTTTTTTTTGTTTTAAACAGTCAGGCTTTTACAGTCTTCTCTAGGCACAGAAGAGTAAGTATGCTGACAGTTGACCATGACAGCATGCAGAGTTGAGTCTCCATCATAAAGACCTGCCAGTAGCTGAGTATCCTCTGCTGTTTTTCCGTTCACATTTGTCCAGAGGGTGAGGGCATGGTTATGAAAGTTCAGAGGAAGAGAGAGGACGTGTGGGCCAGGGTTTGTGCCAGAGAGGAGGGCAGTGGCCAAGGGGAAGGCAGAGGGTACACTGGAAGGAATTCTGTATTCCCGGTGACAGCCCGCAGGATTGCTGTGCAGCCAGAGTGCAGAGTAGTCTGCTTCTGATAAAGCATTGGGTAACTTCCCAACATGTTGTTATGAAAAATTTCAAACATACAGCGATGTTGAACGAATTTTACTGTGCACACCTGGGTACTAGATTTTACCATTAACATCTGACTCGACTTGTGTTATCATATCCATGTATCCATCCCATTCCTGCATTTGTTTTTAATTTCATTTCATGTAAACTGCAGACATCAGTACAGTAAATATTTCTCTATTTCAGCATGCTTCTTCAATAGGGTTCAATATTTTGCAGGTGCTAGTGTAAAATTTACAAAGAAATGCAAAAATCTTAGGTGTACATTTGTGAGTTTTAATGAATGCCCATGCCTATGTAACTCAAACCTCTATCAAGATACAGGACATTGCCATCACTCCGGGAACTTCCGTCATGTGCCTTCCCAAGTCAGTCCCCCTCCCCAGGGCCATGGTGGCAGTGACTATTTTGATACATTAAAAACCATTCTTAGCTGAACTAAAGGGAAGTTTCATGTGTGCCTAGGTCAGCTCTAGATTGCCTCACTGAGTTAAATAACTCCAGCCATGCCAGAGTCCCGCCAAACCCAGTCCCTCACGCGTCTCAGAAATGCAATCCTGAGACCACGGTATTTTTTTTTTTTCTGTCTCCTTGTTTCT